AATTGGAATTATACGTGAAACTTTTGTGTCGTCAGTCAGAGTAATCATAAAACCGTGTCTAGTTATCTTGTCGCGATCACTCCTGAGCAATCGGTTGAGACTAAACCGAGATAACATAATCCAGTGACCTTCATGGCAAACTCGTTCGAAAAACTCGATCATCTGATTGTGAACAATTGCCTGAATTTGGCATCCCTACAATATAAGAAAAAATATAGAAATTATAGAACCATTAAAGAAATATACAGAATCAGAGACTTATTACTACAAAGTTTAGTTTATAATAAAACTAACGTTCTCGTCGGTCATAATGAAGCCAAGACCTGGTAATCCCTGTGAATCATTCACGCTCCACTTTTTCAAAACTTTAACCACAATCATCCAGTTATCTCTCCATCCATTCATCTCATGAACCAAATCATAACTACCCATGTTTGTCAGAAGTTTAGAGAGAATAAAATATCAGAAAGTAGTTATGTTCTGTTGCATCGAGTCTTTATCAAATCATCTATATATATACGTAACGTTTTTTAAAATATGATTACGCTTAATGATGACGATTCATTAGACACCGTTTACTTGAACCGAGTCTTTAAAAACGATTTTCATTATCCGTTATATATATATATATATATATACATATATATTCAATATAAATACAATATGATCCCAACCACTAAAAACAAATTATCTATAATTTTTTAATTTTTTAAAAATATAACAAAACACAATCTATATATGTATATCTTCTTTCTATATAATTTAAAATAAAAATTTAATTCAAAGACAAAACATATGTGTATATATATGTTTTCATACCGATAAATCATTATTAAATAAAGGAATTCATGATTGTATTAGTTTTTTTTATTATTATTTCGATATCCGAATATAAATTGGTTATTAAGGTATCTACAAATATAGATATACTGGACCCATTAATTAATCATGACTTAATATTATTGATATAGGTATACCGGATATTATTAAGCAAATAAACATCTAAACATTAAACGAATCTAAATCCCTACAGAAATATTACTGATTTTGATTTTCGTGAACAACGATAAAGACTAAACACGATTGGGTCCATATCGTAGAATATCTTTTCTATCACGATCATTAAAGTTTTTATGAGCTCTTGGAAAAGATAATTATAGTTAGAGGTCTATTGAAAATTTATGACGATAGTCAGTAAGTTTTTCCTGTGACAAATAGTCGAAGTATATATATGTTTCCTAATATATTTACCTTAGGCAATTATCCTGATTTCTAGTATGTTTACTTTAGGAAATTACTCTGACTATACCAAAAATAATCAAAATATTTTCCATAACAGAAGCCACAAAAATCTTATAAAAAGAACATAGTCAGACATCGAACCTAACAATATGAGCAAATAAAAAACACATATAGTACATAAAATATAGTTTGATAATACATCACAAAATTAATATATAACAATAAGAAAGTATGAAATAAAATCACTGATCTTAGTTTTAAAAGTAGGCATAAAATTACTAAGTAATGAGTTCGAGAATACAAAGAAGAAACAGTGAAAATAGAGAGACAGAATAGAGGAGGTCTACAAATAACATCAAACAGTCGATGCTCTCGTCCGTACTTGGTTCCGCCTACGAAAGTGATAAAAAGTCATTACCTAAACGTTTTAATAAACATTGAAACAACAATATATAGAATCCAAAAATTTTAAATACTCACGTCGCTCTAAATGCATCAACTTCTGCATTGACAGGATTGTACAAAAAATCTGAGCATAGATGATTAGATCGGAGAACCACAGACTTCTTATCGATACCTAAACAACAATAGACAAAAGTTTTATTCAACATTCAGATTTTAAGACATATATGAGAAAATATGTATATACCTTGGCCATTTTTCATCTTCCAGAACCTTAACACCCAGACAACCGATTCACATGTGTTTCTCTGATATACATCATGGAGATTTATTGCTAGAGAACCACGAGCGTAACATGTTAACCGGCCTTCTCTTCTGCCACAAGAAAAAACAATATGAAAAATGAAATATTTGGTAAAGACTTTATATGTTAACAGTCCTTTAAATATAAAACAATGCACATGATTCATAATATCGTGCGTCTACTATCTCAAATTGGAGATAAGCGAGAATCTCTTCATAAGCATCATTACTTGCATTGCAGAGTGGACCCATCTTCACAATCGTTCCCATAACGTCTGATAATAAACGAAATAATAAATTGAATTTAAATCTATTATAAAACTTAACATATATGTTTAGAGATTATCATGCAAACCGATAAAATTGATTATTTCTTATAAAAAGTTAAAGATAAAATTTGTACCAATTCAGATAGCCAAAATGAATGGCTAGATCCACAATATCATAAAATCGGAAACAGTGGAGATACAAATTGTACGACCTCGTTCGAATAGGGGTGATAATAGTGACAGAAGTTAACTGCAAACGATGTTTATTGATCGTTGTAAGCATTGATCTAGTTGCTTCTTTAACGTAAACGTTGAAAATCTGAATCCAATGTCCCTGTTTGATTTTTTTCCAGTGAGTGGGAAACTCGTTTGGCATAATGGTTGCAGCGATCCGAGTACCCTAAAAAAATAACACAGCCAAAAATAACAGTGAATAATAAATAGAAAACATAAAAGAAAAACTTCAAAAAAAGACACATACTTTGATATCAGACAGAACCATCTCGATAGTATTTTTGAAGAATGTTGAATGCTTCCAGAGCCTGACCACCTTGACAGATATTAACCACCCTGTTTTGTAAGTATCCAAACATGCAACATCGACAACATCAGACATTTTAGAAACCTTTTTTTTCGATCGAGAACTCTGAATGAGATTTATAAAGAGGAAAACTAAAAGTGACGAAGTATGAGAAAGTGTGTTAAAGATGAAAAGGACAGACAATGCAGTTGAGTAGGCAGTTATTCTTTCTTATAAATTTATTTTCATTTGAATTATTTAAAAAAAAAATTGAACAGTTACCATTTAAAGCCTCTTATTGTCAAAACCAACAACAGTCCCACTAATTTATGTCAAGATATTTCCATATCGATATTGACCGATTTGTTCGTTTCACATGTCAGAGAGAATATATTCCATGTTTTAAGTTTCACCAAAGATACACGCAACCTCAATAAGTAAATATACCATTTTACTAAATATATAATTTTGCTAAATTATAACACTTTCCATAAAATAATATGATCTCTCTCTATAGCTTATGTTATTTAGACAATTTTATGTTTCAATATTTTAGGAAATGATATATTCATACAACATCATAACAAAAATGACATTTATGTAGACTTATATGTTATAACTTTATGTACCTACTTGGGCAATTTTCCTTAAAATTATATGAAACAGGAAACCTGGAAAGTCAAACGGTTAGGTGCAAACATAAAGTCGCATAATCTTCCCCATAAAAAATTGAAAAATGAGAAAATTGATTATTATTGCACACCTTATAAATACTCACTTGAGGTTTTCTCTTCAAAGAACTTTAAAATATCTTATAAGTAGCCTTATCGTTGTGAGAGCATTCATAAGAACATGGCGAACACAAATGAAAAAAAAAATCGATGAAAATGGCTTGTTGATCATCAATCCCCCCACCATTGGTAATCAGATTCGGTGTCGTGGAACCTAAGTCACCACCTTCACCAACAGATTCCGAGATCGAGCAAGAAGAATTATGAGAACAATTACACTTACTCACCGCATCAAATCAGAAAGCCAAATAGAATACTCCTCAGGTAATATATCCTCTTAACTAAAGGTTATTTTTATCATGTCTTACACAATGAATTGTAAAATCTGCATATTCTATTTATCGAGGATGACAAAGGCAACCCATCTAATGAGACACCCCAAGCAAGTTGCACAAAACGAAAACATGATCTGATTCTAGATCTGGAGATAGGGTTGAAGTGCATGTATTGCGGTTTTGTGGAGACAGAAATTCGACACATGGATACCGCCGAATGGGTAAGTAATCAGAAATATATTTAGATTAATAATGAAAAATTGTCTAAAATCTATGTGACTGAGTCATGATATTTTGTTATTGATTGCTCATTGAACTCTCTGTTTTATAAATAATTCATGTTTAAATATAATATTGAGTTAGTTTAAAGTTATATAATTTTACAAAAATTTAAATTGGATTGTTTGTGTTTGTGCTTGAAGGGAGAGGAGAAGAAAAATAAAAAGAGGAGGTCTGGAGTTTAATCAACAACCATATCAAATTCCATTTTTTTTTTCTGTTTGCAATGATCACTTTAAAGACAGTATGTATTTGGTTTAGTTTTCTAAAAACTATTAAGTTTATTTCGATGACATTGATAATTTGGTTTTGGAGCATTCTCGATATTTATAACTATGTGACAATGTTCATCACATGAAATGTCAATAGATGTCCAATAATATGCTACAATTTAAGTTTCGTTAAAATATATTATCGAATTGAGTTTGTCATTGGAATATCTGACTACAGTTAAACGTCAGAGATCAAACCATTAATAAAAAAAACATTAAGAAAGCTGCTAAATTATACATGGTGGAGTAATATATATATGAAGAAAAAACGAATCAGATTGATAAAACCGAGTAACTATACAACTTCCAATTTATATACAATATTTGGGTTCAATAAAAATAATAGTCGATACCCATATCCATTAGTAACATTTTTTTGGTGTAAACCAATCAAACATAATCTAATATATGGGCTTTACAAACCCATTTACGATAATAGATAATCTAAACTTAGTACATGATATAAGAATTATTTCAGGTCTAATTTAGTGAAAATTTGAAAACGAATTACATCAGATCCAACTTAGTGAAAAATCGAAAAACATTAAATCTATTAGTAAAACCTATAAAACCGAATGTAATTATAATATAGTAAAAAGAACTAACATATTTCGAGATCCATAGAGAATAGATAAACAAAAAAAAAATCATATCTTGTCAAAAACTTCCTTGTAGACGACATTCAATGTTTTGCTTTGTAGTTTGTTGTCTTTATCGGTGATCAATATCTTCAAATCTTCTCTAGGTGTAACCCTCGACACAGCGACATAGAGTTGCCCATGAGTAAATACCGGCCTTGGAAGATACAAACCAACCTTTTCGAGTGTTTGTCCTTGGCTTTTGTTTATAGTCATTGCAAAAGCTAATGTGATAGAAAACTGCTTGCGTCTCATCCTGAAAGGAAGTTTCATCTCCGAAGGAGAGAGGAATATACTAGGAATAAGTACTTTGTCACCAACTTTGCTACCTGTTATTATCTGAGCCTGGAGAACATAATTAGCCATCTTAGTAATGATGAGTCTTGTGCCATTACAAAACCCATTCTTAGGGTCGATATTTCTTAGAAGCATTACAGGAGTACCCTCTCTCAACTTCAGGACATGATTAGGGAAACCAGACATCTTGATACTATTTAAAAACTCCTCGGTATAAATCATATTGTTGGAACCACCTTTATTCTTATTGGCTACACTCTCCGATGGTACTTCAGATGCATCATTGTAATTGACAACTTCTTCAGCCGTATCAATGCTATCACAACTAAGATAGGTCCTTTCAACACATGTTATATACAAAACAATGATTGTATTATATAAATTTAAACAAATAAGTTAAGAGGAACTAATAAAAAATAAACATACCCGACAACTTTGAAAGCATGTAATCATTTATCTTCTCTACATCACCGTTTCTTGGACTCAGTATGGCACGGTCTTGAAAAAATTTAGGATCAGACTCTTTCGAAAACAAACTCCCATAAATCTCTTTGACGGTCGTTTTTATAGGATCTTTACAGTCTTTAATCAACAGATCATCAGGAATATCAATCACGGCTTCACCACTCCCATCATCATTTATCGTTCCATCACCAATGTCTAAGATCCACTTTGTAAAGGCAGATCGTTTAAGCATCGCACGGCTACTATCTCCAGCTATAGGTCACATGTTCTGTGTAAGTCTCAACACTCTGCATTTGTACCACAGAGGTGATGAATTCAAAGTGGCCATAAGTATCTCTGTCTTCCCAGCATTTGGAATCACTGGCAATATTTGCCTGAAATCCTCTCCCAAAACAATGACCTTGTCACCAAAGGGCTTGTCAACTTCTAATATACCACGCATCGTTCTATCTAGAGTCTCAAAACAGTCTTTACTCATCATCAACGCCTCATCCCATATAATGAGTTTAGCAATCCTTATCAGGTCGGCAAGATTCGACTCCTTCTTGATTGAATGCGCAGTTCGGCCTCCTTCTAATAGCAACGTAGCAATCCCGCTCGATGCAACCTTAAGACCAACATCACCTTGGGAACGTAGAGCAGATCATAATAGACTCCACAAATAAGTTTTACCAGTACTTCCAGAACCATAAACAAAGAACATACCTCCGTTGTTCTTATTTACTGCTTCTAGGATCTCATCATAAACACTTCTCTGTTCGCTGGTTACAGTGGCTAACATCTGCTGGTTTCTAACTCTAAGAGTTTCGCGATTGTAATTAATCTCATCCCGAATAAGAGGATTATCACATGACTCCAGAGTAATATCTTCAGGAAATGGCATAGGTGTGAATTCTTTTAAAGATCTCCCACTTACACGTAAAAGAAGTTCTATTTCGATCAGAGCAAAGTCTTTAACTTGCTCCTGAGATAGACTAACAGCTACACAATTTCAAAAATTTACAAAAGATCAATTAGCTATCAATATCTTAAAGATATATAATAACAACAACGTAAACGATAACTATACGACTTACTTTGATCCCTGGCAATCTTTCTGTAATTATATATGATGTCATCTTATAATACCTGCCATGTAGCATCCCAAACTCTAGAAGGAATGGATATACTATGAGTAGTGAGCATGATCACAAAAAGATGACGGAGATAATTGGCAGAAAGCCACAATCCGGCCTCATTGATGGCCTCAATATATTCTTTGTCATCATTCAATAATCCATACGCATAGCAAGCGTCTTTAAACGAAGAATGTAGAACTTTGTTGACCGTTTTTATATCGTCAAAACTACGTGGTCCTTTGACTAAATTAAGCAGAAGCCTTAAATAATACGCTTCACCTGCCCCAATGGGTACGTACGTAATTCTACCAAGAGCAATTCTCCTTGATCATGGCGTCCATATCCTCTTTGGTCCATTCCATACAAATCTCGAAGGAAGTTGCGCATAAGTTAACGTCCTCGCCAGTTCATACTCCTTGTTGCACTCCATCCAAGCAATAAATTTTGACGTACCAACTGAGACACGATTAATAACCTCGTCACCTGGATCATCCTTGTTGTATATGACCATTTGCTGGTTCGGTAAATGAAAGGGTAGTTTAACTACAGAAACCGTGCGATGGTGAGTACGATTACCGAAAATTCTCCACGTAGACTCCAAAGGCGCTACATACCTATATAGAAAGACATTATTAAATAATGGAAGATTGGAATTTCAAAGATATAAAAGATGTGAACAAAATGTTTAAAACATACCTACAGTTGAAGTGTTTCTTAATCTCATTTTCTTTATCATCATTCTTGATAGTTGCACGGATGTAATCAGCACCTTTATGAATATATTTGAATCGATACTTTACTGATCGCGACTGTACACACCATTCGACGTTGATATGAGCCCTATAAAGCAGTGTGAGGCTCCTATTATAAGGAACCACAAATCCATTATCACATTCAATACCCTTTTTAACGATAACTTTCTTATCATTACGTCGCCTGTATATAGGATATCCAACATCATATATTTAAGTGATCGGACTGAATGGTTTTGGAAAATACTTTGTACATTTTCCTTCAGCCATGCAAACACTATCCTTATTCAAAGCACCACATGGCCCATACATCATGACATCTCCTACTATCTCATACAGCGCTGGATCAATATCTTTGTCAGGAATTTCAGCACATATTATCTTATCAATGTCATCACCTGTTGGTAGCTTGTGACCAGCCTCTAAAAAAGAACGATGTGTGCATGAGGTAGTCCCCGTTTTTGAAACTCAATCGTGTAGATCGCTGCAACGAATAATTTTTAGTTTTTAAAAGATTAGTTAGCATGATCATCTAGCAGTGGTATGGACAATATCTTGCTAAACGAAATAAGATACTTAGTTTAATAAAACATATCGGCTTTTACGACACCTAACACATTTTCTTTGGTGAGTCTGTGCATGAGATTATCTAGTTTCATCTTGAAAACTCGCGTACATATATCTGGCCTATCTTCTTGCTTCAAGTTATGTCTTTTTAGGTGCCTGGTAATCTCAGGCCAGTTGGGATTACACGTAAAGATTATGAAAAGATCCGGAAAACAAAAATGCTGGCAAGTAGTCATTGCATCTAGATAATGTTGCACCATATACATTGTACCACCAGTATAAGAAGAATGTATAATAATACGTTTACCCTTGTCAGAAATATCAGTGTCACCTTCATCAACAGTTTTTTTTATCTTATCATAATTTTCGCAACGAAGTTTAGACTGATTCATTGAAATGAAACATACTCTATTAGTCTCAATCATCGTGTACACATCCACTAATAACTGCTGGAATAATCTTCCAGATAAAGGGATGATTGGTGACTCGCCAACCCTCTCCTGTATGCGGAAAGCAAAAACCTCTCTCATAGTAATATGCAACATTTTCCTCCCTTTGGTATCTACAAAACCAATATCGATACCAAGTCTGAACCCGTCCTCGCCATAGGGAAACAATAATGGATATTGCAAAGACAAATATGCGGGATGTAGTTCACTGATCCTTTTGAGATTTCCAGTCTTTTAACACTTGATGATGATATCACGTGAATCTGTCTCAATATCGAAATCATTAGGTATCAATGCAGCAACCTCGTAAGTAGTTGGTAGATTCTCAGTCCTTCCATCACTTTTCCTGTCATGCCTTAAAATTAACCTTAACCGGCTTGTATCATCGTTAGGACCAAACCTTTCTCGCACGTTTCGTAATGCATCCACTTGTTTGTTATGTTTATCTAGCATATTTTTTATTTTCTCAACCACCTTCTCTCGCAATTTATCAGTCGGTCCCGTTTTCCTAAAAAGTTTTTAAAATAAAGTCTTATGACAGTTAGAACCACATAACATTTAATAACAATACATATATGTTTTAAAATTGATCTCAATGATTAAATTAAATATAAACCAAAGGAATAATAATCATACCCATAAGCAGCTATTCGGTTAGATGTTTCATTTGCAGTATCATATATATACAGCTGTAAAAAGGCTGGTTCTTTTCTAGGAGCTGGTAGCATATCCCCTATACTATGGTAGTTCTCCCCCACTCATCTGGAAAATGTATGGACCTTTACCGTCGTTGATTTCTTTATTTATTTTTCCTCCAAGAGAAGTGAAGGAAAAAATCATATTATACGCCCGGAAAAACTCATGAAAGTGATCACGCAAATCACCATCATTGTACATCAATGCTAAAAACGAATTCGGAGGGTCTTTAAGAAGTGAAAGAACGACTTTACCCTGACCACAACACATGGAGAATATAGGCTTCCCACGTCGATATCGTTTACCCAACCTCTCTCCATACCACATATAAGCCTTACACTTACCACATATATATATAGGATCACCATCATCGTAATAACCTGGTTAGGAAAATATTCATTGATTAGTATTAATTACACGATATTTATATATTATGTATTAAATGAAATATATTAGTCCAATGAAAACTATAAGCTCCATCCTTCAGACCAGGACTAACTGATTCCAATAAATCTGTTCTAGTAACAACGGTCTCGGTTGCTTCCTCATCACAAGAATCAGAGAATTTAGCACGTTTTTTGGGTCTTCCTTTTTTTTATTACCCGGAAGTTGGTTTTTTCATATCCTCACTTTCCGACATAGAGTCTTCATCATTATCCCTATCGGACTCAGAATCAGTAGCAATAAAGCAATCAAACTCTTCCGTGTTGATAGAAGTAGCCGAAAAATCTGTTTGTTTTTTCCATGGAAAAAATAGTAAGTATAAAACAAGTATATAATTATTAATCTACATTGTAATCATTAAAAAAGAAGATCAAACCAATAGCTTCTTCTTTTTTTCTCCTCTCACGTATGATATGCATTCTTCTCTGTTGTGCATTACGAATTCCCTGGGGTGTTAGATCAGGAACTTCATCAATATTGTAATGAAACAAACCTCCAAGTTGGTCAATATCGGTTGCACTGGTAAGGGCATATCGTGCGTTCTTAGCATTACCACCTACAAATTCCAGTTAATAATAAGCAGATTTATAACACATGAATGTTTTCAAAATGTAATTTAGTTGAAATATCACCTTTATTTGGAGCAATCGACGAAGATGAACTTTTTTTCCGAGGACGCCCAAGCTTACGTTACATAGTTTCTAATGAACATTACTTATTCTTCACGATAATATGCTTATATTCTCATGCACCATAATACTCCAATATCGAAAATTTACATTTTTCGTGATAATGTTAAAATATTATTGAGATACTTCTACATTATAATAACGTGGACCTATAAATAATTATTTATTATTGCAAATATGTAGAGCTAATCCTAAAAATATACCTCTACATTACAACAAATATATTCTCCTAATATTTTTTCGAAAACCGAAAAGTTTATCGTTATATTTCTTAGAACTTGAATATTCTCTCAAAAATATAATTATTTAAAATATCATCTCAATAAATTATATCACATTTTTTTGTGGACAATTATATTATACTTTGTTACGCAAACGTTTTGGGGATAGCTATGAATATCGAAATTCATACATAAAAATAAAATTAAAAAATATTATTTTCATACACTGCGACAAAAGTCAAATTTTATTCATATCACATACGATGTCTAACACAAACCATAAAAATTAAAATATA